TTTTTAAGAATAATACTTCATTAGTATTTTGTGCAATTATGGATTGTCCATACCACATCCAGTACTGTATAAATAAAAAATGGGGAAGGATAGGCAGATTATGCCATCCTTATTTACATGGAGTAGTTCCTTAGTTCTGCAAGAACTCCCATTGAAATCAATGCTTCAGAAAAGTTATTAAGCTTCTAGGCAATATGAGTAAGAGTGGCAAATTCTAATCCATTATTTGCTGAGTGTAATTTATTTTCAGAACAGAATAGTTCCTTAGTTCCATAGCTCAACATTTGCAACCAAGTGCTTCACAAATTCACCCTAATTTCAACATGCCTGTTTTTCAGTATGATAGCACCTTTTTCTACAACTCTGTTTGCTTTTGCCAAATATAGATTGTCTATATATTGGCTTGATTTATATACAAATATATTTGGATCAATGTAAATGGTAACAGACTATGCCTCTGTTGTCAGGCCATTTAGTGGGCGCATCTCTGCTTAACTGTGGAGTTGACTAATTAGTTCTTCAGTACAGTAAATTAATTCTGCCATAAAATAGTACTGTTGGTGACATACTATCTTATGGTGGAGTCCAGGAGCAGTTGACTCTGACTCAAACAGTTCTGGAGTGTATTGCGTTACCTTAAGTGAACATGTAAATGCACCCAGATGCACCCACTGAAGGTCAAACTGCTGCTTTGCAATACTCACACATAGGCAGGAAACATTATGATGTGTGTACATGTATGTGTGCACCTCAAGATGGGAATCAGGGGGGAGATGTGCCCCTGTAAAGCAAAGAAAGGGACAGATCAGCCTGAATAAACACCCTGAAATCCACAACACTGTTGGGGTTCAAGAGAAAAAGTGAGTGGTCACTAATACCCCTTTAGGGCTTTATGGACGTCTTTATACATGCTTTGGGGCTGGGGAGGGCACTTTAATGAGAGGGGCTCCAAAAGCTTCTCTAATTAAAGCGCCCACAGTGACTTGTGTATTCAGTGTCCCGTGCTTCAAAATGGTGGCAGAGGCACTTTAATTAAAGCTCAGGAGGATTCCTACCTAGAGAAAAAGAGGGATTATATTCATCTTAACCAGTCCTGATATACTCATTCCTTCCTTAGCCTGCCCATCCCCTTGATCCATGCAACTCTCTGAACTGATAGATCCCCTCAATAGGAACTATGCCATAAGCAGCACATTGAGCTATCTGGGTATAGAGGCAGAGACACAAATATAGAAGTAACCATTCAGATTGGATCAAATGAGCATAATGTGACCCTTGATTATTACAAGTCAAATCTTCTGTTGACAAAGGACTTATTAAAATTAACTGGATGGGCTCAGTGAACTCTCTACCACATATTATTGTTTGCTGGCAAAATGACTAAGGAAAAGAACTTAACGGTATTAGGTTCTCCAACTGATAGTATTAAAACATGTATGGAGAGTCAAGGTTTAACACAATCCAGTTTTTGTTATGTTCTAATAATTGCAGAACCACAATGGGAAAAGCAAGATGACAACTCCCTCTCTATTTGAGTATACATTTATATTGGACTAGAAAAAAGACAAATCTTCAGATTAGAGAAGAATTTTATCAAAGTACTTATGAGTTAAAGTACACACACATACACATAACATCACAAAATTACCATATTTACTTGCACTCCACACATGCCTCCCCC